TTGGGGGGGGGATACTTTATAGAACGTGTTCTCAGCTATTTCTTTTCACATCAGAGAACGACCTTCCAAGGATGTTGGGAGGTTTGGGCTCCAGGTTCCGAGTCCGAATCATTGGTACCAACCCCCGAATCCCAAACCCCATTGAAGTCCCTATTGAAAATAAGCTTTTTCCCCCAGAAAAAAAAAGAAGGTGATGGGTGGGTTCCAAGTCAAGAGTTGAGTCCAAGTCATTGGTGGGAAAAACCCAAATCGATTCCAAGTCATGCTACTCATGTGACTTAAGTCTGACTTGACAGCAAGTGTCATGACTCAAGTCCCAATCCGTGGCGCCTTCTATATATTTTTCCCTTAAACCTTCTGCTCACATTTTCCATCCAACCTCAATTGTTGTAATCCAGCCCTAACCAGGTTTATTTAAAAGGCCTAGTGATATCGGAGACATTCAAGGAATTATACTCCTTGTATATACGTTCAGTACCACTACCACTTCTGCCCTCCTTTGTATTCTTTTTTGAAGTTAATGTTAATCCATTGGCTTATAACGGCAACACTTTGGAACACAGGTAACCTTTGAGCTATTTGCCACAGCATGAAACATGGGGAACACACACCTCTTTCTCTCTCAGAGAAACCTCGGTTCAGATCCAACCTTACTTCAAACATGTGGAAAGAGGCATTCCACCCTGGTTTTACTCTTGAGCAAGGGTGGGTAAACTACTGCCTCCCAGATGTTGTTGGACTACAACTCCCAGCATTTGGCCCCATTGGCTGTGCTGGCAGGGGTTACAGGGAGCTGCGGTCTGAAAAGCAGCACTGTGCCCTTTCCAGTCCAGAGTGCTGATGTCCAAGTCTCGTCCCAATGTGGGTGGCACACAGCATTAATCTTTGTGCACCCTAGACCAAGCTTGCAGCACACTGAGAAAGAAAGAATTATTGGAGTCGTAATGTGTGTACTGCTGAGCTCATACCCAAAACTTGGGAAAAGGTGCATTGCTTGAACTACAACTTACAAAATTCTCCTAGCCAGCGCTGTCCGCTGAACATGTGGCCATGCTGACTGGGGGTTCTTAAAAGATGTAGTCCAAAAAAGTAACTTCTTAAGATCTACCTTTCTCAAGCTTAGTCTTTAAATTAAACAACTGCTTGTTGGATCAGAACAAAAAGAGAGAAAAAACACTGCTTGTTGGTTCAGAACAAAAGGCCCACCTATTTCAGACTTGGGGCACAATTACACTGACAAATCATGCAGAAAATGCTCTGTGATTTGTGTTATTTCCCATTACCTACGTGGTGTAAAAATCAATGCAAATCAACCCAGAGTTCCACCCACTCATCCACCCAATCTGTATTTTTAGCTCCACCGCTGGTGCTTCTACTTTTCTGGAATCAAATGCATTTGTTCATGCAGTGTGGTACCCTGAACCAATGTAGAGGGGGTTTGTAGCTGTTGTATTTGAAGCCCATTCCAGCCAGCTACATTGAGGGAAGCAGGGCAGTGGGAAACCTGGCTGTCCCAGCACTTAGCAAGCAAAGAAAGAGGGAGAGAGGTGGTAAGGGAAAGAAGGGAAGGAAGAGAAAGGAAGATGAAAGCAGACCCAAGCACCAGCAGTGGGGAGGAGAGGATTCAAACAGTTAACAAGCTGCAAACAAGGGTGATTTCCTCCTCTCTCTCTACTAACTCCTGTGTGGTTGTCTGAATCAAATTAACCTAGGAAAACCTGACTTTCCAGGTATGACCTCACAACATAAATCCGCATTTTTCCCACTTTGTAGTTGCATCCTTCTTGGGTACAATTTAAAGTGGCCTTCAGATACCTTGTACATTCCCAAACATTTGATGTTCAGAGATATATACACACAGAGACACATATATTCTCTACACATGCATATCTCAATCAACTACCCCCCTGATAGCCGTTAGTCAGAATCCTGTTACTGATTTACATTTTCATAAGGGAAATCACTTAGGTTGTGGTGCAAATTGTCCTTCACCCAGGAATGTGCCTCCTTAAAGAGCAGTAATTTGCCACAAGGATATGAAATCAAGCAGTGGGATTCCAGCCCACTGAGCCATGTAGACATCATAAATTTGCCAGATCCCTCACAGCAATCTTTTCCAACCTGAGCCCCTCCAAGGATTACATATCCCACCATTCTCAGATAGTATGACCAATGGTCGAGGGGATTTTAGTCCAGAACACCTGCAAGGTATCAGTTAGGGGGAGGCTACTAGAGCTTGTGAAACAGCCTTGTGTTTACTACAGAACAAAAATGGACACAGCCAACAAGGCACCAGGGGGATTCATAATAGCATAGCCTCCTCACCCGGCAGGCAGTGTTATAAAGACAAATCAAAAAAGGTACATTGGTGAATCCTCACTACCGACTTTCCCTAGAGTAATTTTCTCTCATCTGGTCTTGTACTGGGTTATAGGTGCCAGAAAAAAAGTCTATTGGAGAAATCTCCATATTCTATACCTGTAAAATGAAGCTTTGTTCTGCTACTTCACTAGCATACCCATGCTATGCAAACTGCCCTTTCTCCAGTGGGGTGCGAATCATGAGGATAGGCTAGAGTACTGTTTTCAGGATTGTTGTTCACAAGCCAGTCAAAAGGAATAGCAATGTAGCTGTGGTGATGGTCCCCGGAGGCAGTGGTTCTTAACCTTTGTTACTCAGGTGCTTTTGAACTGCAGCTCCCAGAAACCCCAGCCAACAGAGCTGATGGTGAAGGCTTCTGGGAGTTGCAGTCCAAAAACATCTGAGTAACAAAGGTTAAGAACCAGTGCCCTAAGGGACTCCTCTCAAAAGGCTCCTACAATGAACTGATTTAAATACAAAAATATGAAGCTGCTTTATAATTGAGTGCCAAACTAGATGTGATTGTGGCAGCTCCACATATCTCAAATCCAGATTTGCTCCAGTCCCGTAGAAAGCATGGTGGGGTTCTATTCAAACAACTGGAGAGCCTTGGGGGTAAGGAGTGTCTGAAGGTCATCTTTCTTTAGAAAGTCTTGCAAGAGACTTTTTTTTTCTCACGGACCATAATCTAATATTGGATCAACTGAGAGAAAACCACTTACATGGCAGTGGAGATTCCCTGTTTTGCACCAGTCTCCTCCTTTTGTCCCCCCACCCCCCATGAGACCCTGTGTATTTCAACCCACAGATCTCTCACAGTTCTATAGTTTGGTATAAAGCTTGGCACCCATTTTTTAAAAGTGATTTGGTACTTCTTATTCACTTCAAAATAATATGATGATCTTACAAAACTCAAAACATTATTTCCTGCACCCTGTTTTTTTAGAAACTCATATGTATTCAAATGAGAGAAATGTGCTCTGCAGATAAACCCCTTGTCACCAATTTGTAAGTGTGAGGAAGGACCATGTGGCTCAGATTTGGATAAAGAGAAACTCATGCACATCAAGTGATCTAAAGTGGACAATTATGTTTACACGTAACACCAAATCAGCATTTTGCTTGAGGGCAGTTTGCGAAGATACATTGTGAAAAGCAAGGGAAAGATTCCTCCCCCCTTTTCAATGTAACCAAATCAGCATTTTGCTTGAGGGCAGTTTGTGGAGATACATTGTGAAAAGTAAGGGAAAGCTTCCTCCCCCCCTTTCCAATGTAACATTTGTTGTTGTTGTTGTCGTCGGTTGTTGTTGTTGTCGTCGTCGTTGTCGTCGTCATCGTCATTTCCATTTCTATGTAGCCTGATTAGTGTTGCTACTCTCTAGGTGGTTCACAATACACAAAAGCATCATATGATGAGAACAAAGAAAATACAATCAATCCTGTTGCTAGTTAAAACTACCTTTATATAAAAATACACAAATTAAAACCCATTTGAACATCTCGGGATAATATTCACACTAGTAGAAGGCAGATTTATATAACTCGGTCTTAATTAACTTCCCAAAAACAGAAAAGGATGGTGCCAGGCAAAACTCTCTAAGAAGCTTATTCCAGAAGGAAGGGGCCATGGCTGAGAAAGCTTGGTTCTTTGTGCTGGCTGTTTTGGGTGTTACAATTCTTAACATCAAGCGCTGTGGTGAGCAGGTAGAACAGGTAGCTATTTTGTGGGAGAGACGTGCTGCCAAATATTGAGGTCCTAAACTGTTAAAGGCTTTATAGGTCATGACCAAGACCATAAATTGGGCATGGAAACTAACAGAGAGCCAGTGAAGGCGTGCCAAGACTGGGGAGATGTGTTTATATCTGCTAGTTCCTATTATAAGTCTGGCTGCCGCATTTTGGACCTTCTGAAGTTTCTGTACAGACTTCAATGGCAGCCCTACATAGAGAGCATTCCAGTAGTTTATTTTAGAGGCTACTACTACATCAACCACTGTTGTTAGGCCTCTCTTATCCAGATAAGGGTGCAACTGGGCAATAAATTTTATGCTTGCACATGTAAATTTGATGCTCAGATTGCTGCATCTGCATTAAATGCAAAGACTAATCTAATTATCAGTAATTAAAACCATTACTCCTTCAGACAAGAGAGCTCTTATGCAGCAATCCGGCCGCTCAGAATTTCTTTAAAAATAATAAATTATTAGATCGAAATCAAAATAAAAGAAAGGAAAAAAGAAACATAGAACAAAATCTTAATTTCCCTTGCTTGTTTGTGGTTCTAACAAAGGTTCTAACAAAGAACACATCTTAGTCTTAATAGTTATTATGGTGTAAAGTCCTCAACCGAGACAGAAATGTAAACTTCTACAATAATTTAATTTTCCCCTAGGAAAAATTAATATCATACATTTCATATACCGTAGTCATAAAAATGTGCTACAAGCACTGCTAACAAAGTCATGATCCATGTGATTTAACACAACACTAATTATCCATGCTCAGTCTGGGGCATTTTGCTTCAACAGGTGCTACATAAAAATACCCCATAAAAGAATGTACAAAACCGTAAAGACAGTTTAAAAACCTTTGCCAGGCACTACTGCCATTACCAAAGAGTAAGCCAACTTGAGACTTACCCACAGATGTCTCAGGAGCTTAACCTCTTAAAAGGCTGATCAAGAGAGAGGCCGTCTGCAACACAATCTGATTTGCTTTGAGAGCTCCTGAACAAGCGCAAGAGGCTCAGCAGCGTTGAAGAGAAGGTGCAGCTGATGTTGAAACAGGAGGATGGGTCGCCAGGCCCAAGACAGACAGCTCAATTTGCCTTTCCCAGATTCCCAAGCAGATCGGCCAGCCGCTCAAGCGGATCACAAGGCTGCTGTACTCTTGACAAACAAACAAACAAGGCAGTCGGCCTACAGCAACCATTTAAATACTATCTGGACTTTTCTACGTTCTCTGGAGCTGCTGCATGTTTTGTGTGATCTTGTTTTATAACGTCTCCCCTCTCGTCTTTCCCTCCCCTCCTCCCTCCCGCCTCCATTTTAATACCTTGTTTGCTTGCTTTGGCTCCACTCTTTGCTCACTTTCTTATTTTTAGACTCTCAGTATAATACTGTGGCTTGCAAGAGGCTGCAATGACACCATCCAGTGTAACCGGATCCCAAGCCAAGCCCTCGAGTGCCAGAAATTGCAGCCTGGGCTCTGTCAGCACTTCACGGAGGGCACCAGCTTTTCACACACTGAGCGAAACAAAAGCAGTTGTGATGTCTCTGTTTTACAATCAAGTCTAGAACGTCAAGAAGGAAAGACTGCCAGAAGAATGTGTCCTGTGTTTCAAGTGCTGCCCAATTTCCAGTCCAAGCCTGATTCGAAGTGGAAGAACCATAAGAAGGGAGATCAAGGGCCTTGAAGCTGCCCATCCACAGTTAGCACCCTGGTCACCTGATCACTGCCTTCCTTACTCTGTCTGAATTCTAGACATCATTTCTGGTTTTATCTTCAGTTAGAAAAAATATGCACATCAGTATCTTCTTTTGGGGTGTTGTGTAAATGATCATCCCACTGACAAAAGAAGCAAGAGCTGTATACATGTGGTATAGTGGCATCAGGGCTCGCAGGACTTACATCCTGGGACTGTTTGAACAGCAGGGTTTATGACCACATTTACCACCTCCCCAAGTCTTCCCTGCTCCCTCTGAGCGTAGCTGCATTTCCAAGGAATAATATATTCTTACAAACTGTCCAGGTTGTAATGTGAAGTATCTGTGAATGGCTTTGTCTCCAGCGGGCAATTAGAGCTGCTGATAACCCCAAGGTTGTAGGTTCATTCTCCATACTGACCACCAGTCTCATTCAGAGAGGATTCATTTAAAAACAACCTGCCCCTCATTTGTTGACCTGGACTGATCTAGCAGCCTATGTTTCTGGGCTCTTACGCAGGGACTGGGAATGTGGGGAGCTGGTGATGGAGACAGGTATGATGAAGACTTGCACTTCTAAACTTACCACTGATATGCCACTGATTGAGGTATTAGATTCTGGCAGTATGCTTCCTCCTTCCAAGGCAGAAAGAGTTCCAGTAAAACATCCTTCCCTATCTTGGTACCATCCAGGTGTATTGGGCTATACTTTTTTTTAAAGTCAAGCAGAACATGCTGCTTATATACCACCTCATAGCACTTAAAGCAACCTCTGGGCAGTTTATAAGTTAATTATGCAGGCTACACATTGCCCCCCCACAAGCTAATTTTACTCATTTTACCAACCTTGGAAAGATAGAAGGCTGAGTCAGCCTTGAGCCGGATACCTGGGATTGAACTCCAGGTCATGAGCACAGTTTTGGCTGTAGTACACCAGTTTAACTACTGCACCACCAGGCTCTTCCCATCATTCCTCAGCCAGCTTGCCATCTGAGCTGCAGACTCTTCATGTGCCTGGGTGTTTGGGTTACTTCACTCCAATATTGCTGCTACTTTTCAGCCCTGGAACCAAAGGGACTGAAAACTATCACTGTGGGTGCACAAAGGAGAAGGAGCCCTGTGCGCAGGGGGGGGGCAGAGTCACATGAACATGCATACATTGCTTCCCTCCCTTCCCCTAGAATAAGGATATAGTCACAAGGTGTGGCAAGAGGTTCTTTGGACTGCTCTAATTGATCAGTGAAGTGAATGGAGGTCATGGATGCTGTGAGGATGATGGTCCTTCACTTTGTCTGCTATGTGATCCAGCTGAAGGCAATTTCTCAAATTGCTCTTCAGGCAAGGCAATTTTAAACAAAATTACAAGTGATGCAGCACATCAGCGTTGGTCAGTCCAAAAATCTTTTTCACTTCCCCAGGAAGCAGAGGAAATGTTCAGTTTATCGATATACCGAAGTGACTTGCTTCTTAATTGCATGATATTGGAAATTCAAAACAGAAGGAGCCAGACCAAAAAGGGTCACTTAAGCTCCAATATGTGAGGATTGTACCAAATGGCAGATTGCACCTCCACCTAATGCCAAGCAACCCTATTTAGCCTGCACCAGCCCACTTCCAAAATGACCAGTCAGATGAGCTCTAAGAAACAGAGTAACATTCATCCATTGCCTTTAAATACATAAGCATTGTGTGAAAATAACCTATACTCATCTGTAGTAACAAAATATTGATCCTTCTAAATTCCCCTTGCATCATCTTTCAAGTTGACTCTGAAGGACCTCAACCGTAGAGAAGCGGCCACCCAGAAAGCTCCTCTATATTTCAACACCATGAACACTTGACATGGATTGTTCTATACTAGGTGTTTCACTCTTTGTTCACTGACTATTCGGAGGGCTTCCATAGGAGGCTGGCATCAAATAATTATTCTTCTGTTCCCCCCTCCGCCCTGTTCTTCTGACTTCTTCAGAGCTCACAAAATTCAGACTTATTCATTGCTGAACGGATATGATAGCAGCACAAAGCAAACGAGACAGCCTTGTCTAGTCTGGTTTGGATATTTGCATCAATACTTCACTCTATCAATATTTCACCATATCTTGTCATTTCAGCACAACTCCAGAATTAGCCTACCAGTAAACACCATTTCAGCAGAGAGGCTTTTGAAATCAATCTATATTTCATGTCAAAACTCTCTTCAGTTTTCATAAAAACATCAGCAGGAAAACATTTGGGTGCAAACTTTTAAAACGGATTTTCAAAATAAATTCAGTGTTAAAATAGCATGCTGCAGCACATTATCATTTGCCCAGCCCTGTTGCTAAGTTACACCCACTAACGTGGCTGGAAAATAGGGGGATGCGCTAAGAGAGAGTCATTTACAAGTCTGTATATAGTTCATAGTGTATATAGTACATAGTCTGTATATAGTTCATAGGAGAAGCAATGACTGGTTACTGTTAAAAGCCACCAGTTTGACAGCAGACATACAAGGCGCTGTAGCATTTGCTGTTAACTTGCTGTATAAACGTATAGGTGTCAAGTTATCTTTAAACTGTTAACCAACATATGCTTCTCCAGAAAGGAACATATTCACAAATTTCACTAATAAATGGGATCCATAGGATCTTAATGAATGGGATCCATAGGAAGTCAATTATACTTCAATTATCCTTTCAGAATCTGACAGCCTTTAACAATATGATACCTCCCATCATCAGCAAGCATTACCCTTCCTATCATCCTTAGCCATATGAATATGATGGGAAATATTGGGAAAACTAGTTGAGGGAATATTATGTTATTCAAATTGAAATCCATGGAACATCAGGTTCATATAGCTGGCTACTTAACAACCTTGTATCAATGAAGTCCACAGGACTAAAGTGTACAGTAATTCATTTGTTCTGGATCCCACCCATTATTTCCCCTGATTATTGTGATCCAGTTTTTTAGGCAGACAATGCTATAATCATAATCAAGTTATGTATTCTGCTCATGGCCATATACTATCTCTGGCCAGAACAAGGGGAGAAACCAAAGCTGTCTATTTTGCTTATGGTGGATAATTTATGTGACCACAGGTTATAAACTAACCTTCATCCTTTGGGACGTTGAATGTCCAGGGACATGTCAAGGCTTGTCTGCTAGTTAACAATCCAGTTACAAGTCTAATGGTGCAATGTAAAATATATTTACTTAGAGGAAAGTCTTGTTTTGTCCCGTGAGGCTCACCTCCTAGAAAGTGTGTTTAGGACTGCATCCTAAGAGCTAGAAAGGAGAATGTTTCTTGCCCAGGAAACTCCACTTGGTCTGTGTCTTTCATCACCCTGATCGAGAGACCAATGTGCTGAGCAGTTTCAACAGAAAGTAACAATCCACATGTTAAAAGACTTCTCCTTCCAGGATCTAAAAGGGCTGAAGCACACACATCTCTGGACCAAAACAATCACACAGGTTTTCTGAAAAGAACCATTAGCTGCATCCCTGCTCATAAATACCAGTGTGGTCAATTTATGTGAAAGATGGACACCCACAAAGCCCATAAACACTGGGCATATAAATATTTATATTAATAGTGAATCTTGCACACTGGTGTAAACACCAGCTCTGCTGCTATTCGGCCAAGTCTGAGTATGTTTTACTCTCAATATGCAGTGTTATCTCTGCTGGTAAACAGTGTCTTACAACTGATTTCTGTGAAAGATTGTTCCCCACACTGTCATCCCTCCTGCATTTATAAACAGCTGTAACATTTTTCCCACAATGACCTTGCTTCCTGGGGGAGGGGGCGGTAATGGAAGGAGAACAAGAAACAGGAACTGGACATTTTGAAGTAAAAGTGATCTCAGTGTAGTGAGACAAGAATGATCACTGGCCTGGCTGACGTGAAAACAGATCCAGGAAATCATGATCCAGGTACAGTAGTGCCTCGCTTAACAATGTTAATTGGTTAAAAAAACACACATCGCTATGGGAAAACATCGCTAAGCGAAACACCATTTCCCATAGGAATACATTGAAAGCCGGTTAATCCGTTCCAATGGGAACGGATTACCGTCCTTAAGCGAAAATCGCCATAGGAAAAATCACTAAGCGAAACAATGTTTCCCCCGTTGGAATGCATTGAAGCCTATTCAATGCATTTCAATGGCTTTACGATGTCCGTTTTCACTCATTTAAAAGTGTCTTAACATGTTTGAAACCTGTTTTAAATGCTTGGAATCATTAGTGCACCTTGTAAAACATTTGCAAACTTAATTTGGCTTTGTTCTGAGTCTTTGTTAATTTTTGGTGAATTCCCCCCCCCATTGGAATGCATTGAACTGTCTGTTCAATGCATTCCAATGGAGGGGGGGAAATTCACCAAAAATTAATGAAGACTCAGAACAAAGCCAAATTAAGTCTGCAAATGTTTTACAAGGTGCACTAACGATTCCAAGCATTTAAAACAGGTTTCAAACATGTTAAGACACTTTTAAATGAGTGAAAACGGACATCGTTAAGTGAA